CAGATAGAATAGCAACATCATGGCAAGGTCAAGGTCTGTAACCTTGATATTGCCCAGTGTTGCTCCACAATGACTTTGAACAGTAGCTCTGCCCAGTATCCAGTCCATGCAAGTGTTGAAAAGAGTTGGTGCAAGGACACAGCCTTGCCTCACTCCTGAACTAACAGGAAAGAAGCTCGACAGGCCCCCACCACACTTTACAGCACTTTCAGTACCAGTATACAGGCTTGCTATTAGTCCAATAATCCTTGTTGGTATTCCTCTCAGCCTCAGGATCTCCCAAAGTGACTCCCGATGCACCGTATCGAACGCCTTCTTGAGGTCGATGTAGGCTGCAAGCAGCCACACCCGAACTCACGACTCTACAATGACTCGAAGCGCGAGGATACGGTCTATTGTGGACTTACCAGGAGTGAATCCGGATTGCTCCAGTCTCTGGTGCCTCAGTAGATGGTCTCTGATACGTCTCAGAAGGATGTGGGAGAACCTTGCCTGGTATACTGAGCAGTGTGATGCCTCGGTGATTGCTGCAGTCCCAACGGTCCCCCTTCCCCTTCCAGAGAGGGATGACCCACACCCCTCAACAGGTGAGGGGAACAGTACTGGACCGCCAGATGGCAGCCAAGACAGCATGCAACCCCTGTGCTATAGGTTCAACATCAGCCTTTAACAGTTCAGCTGGGGTGCCACAAACTCCTGCTTCTTTGCCACTCTTCATCTTGGAGATCGCCCCCCTGACTTCAGTTGAGGAGGATGGATCCTCACTGATGGGTGGGTCCGGCAACGGAATCACGGCACTACCCGCATCCAAGTTAACTGTTAGTGGGTCAACCTGGTACAACTGCTCAAAATACTCAGCCCAACACTTCCACACTGCAACAGGATTTGAGACGATCTGGCGACTTAATAAGCGAACTGCTGTCACCTGTGAAGGGAGCTTGGAGCTTCTTTCTCAGCGCTTGGTATTCAGGCCGAAGGTCAGTTACTAAGAAATGGCCTTCGACCTCATCAAGACTCCTAATAAACTGAAGTACAAGGTCTGTCAGATTGTTGAGTGCTGTGAAACGACCCGGAGGGTAGCCACAACCAATTTATGGTCAGTGCCACAGAACTTGGCACTTCTATACACCCTGCAATTCTGGAGGATCCTCCAACGAGTGTTAACGAGTATGTGGTCGATCTCCTTGGTAGTATTATCAGCATTGATGTACCACATCCAACAATGTGGATCTGGGGGCTGGTACCAGGAGCCAGAAATCCTCAATTTCTGGGACCTTAAAAAGTCCCGGAAAAGGAAGCTATTCTCGCTACCGGTATGAGCTCCTGAACCACGAGCACTGATAGACATCTTATAGCCAGCTCGATCACAGCCAGATACCACATTGAAGTCACCCAGGACAATACGATCGTGCCGCTGCCAGGTCTTCTCACCGAGAGAGCAGCCACCCCAACTCTCAGCCTCCCCAGTTCCCTCGATAGCAGAGGCAACCGATCATTCTGACGCAAAGAGTGGATGTTCCAAGCCCCCACCCTGACGCCTGAGGTTCACCCTCAGGCAGTCACTCTGGGTGGACGCCACCTCTGGCACCCCTGCCACCACTGCCCCACATAAAAGGGGGCTGCAGGCTGCAGGCCCGACATACACCCGAGGGGTACCCTATAGCTTTGCCCCACAAGCTTCATTCCAAGCAGGCAGCTGCCAGAGTGCAGGCGGGACTAGTAGTTCTCGTTCCCATCCTGTGTCCCGGCAGGCGCCCTCCTCGCGGGAGTGTACAGGAATCTGCGAAAACGCTGTATATATCTTTAAATGTTCACCCACCTGGTTTCTGGCACAGGTCTCCCTTCTCTCGGGCGTTCGCATCGGGTTGCCTCGGGTCCTCAGTCTCATCGGCGCCGCGTCCAGACACAAGGTGTTGCACCACCACGAACCTGTCTCCGTCGCGGCCTCGAATCCCCATGCTCGTGGGCGTCGCCTTAAGGTTCGAAACCAACAGCTCTCTCACACTCTCCACCTGTGCCCATTCGAAGAGAATCGCTCAGCCTAATGCACTAATATATTTACTTTGTGTTGTAGGCAAAGTTCCGACAGCTTGTCAGTTTCGTACTCGGTAATATTGTAAAATATTGGTCAAGGAATAAACTGTCATAAGGTAGATTACACGGATGTGTGGGAACGTAGCTATGACCATTGGCAAACCAGGGTAAGGCACGATTTTACGTGGCTTCCGCAAGAGAGATTAAATATAATTACCTTCAACGTGTTGTCAGGGAGTACACTGAGGAAAAGGCTGTATGCAGAGCCTTCCAAGGGCCTGGATCCTGTCACCAGCTTTTGGTCACGGAGTCCTAAAGGGAAGCTCGCGTCGCAGATATTGAATGTAGGGCTGAAGGGCAGCACAGAGAAGAGCGTGAGGGCCTCTCTTACTCCCTCGATTCCTTCGTTCAGAGGAATGTCGACCTTCTTTCCCTGGACCACCCACATGGGCGTTTGGGGCGAGCA